CTTTCCCCTTTTCCCCCTGGACGTTCTTCCACTCAGCTTCGCCCGTTAAGCGCCAGCCCCCTATATCGCGAACCTCACCTGCGAGCCCTCTCGCGGCCACTCAGCGACTCCCTCGCCGCCCCATACCTCGCTGGCTAGCCTCTTGTGTGCCTCCAATGCCCATGCTGTGAACCAGTCGGGTTGTGCACGACGATCATCCTTCCGTGGCTGGCCGGATGCTCCCCTCCCCGCGAGTGGGCTTGGATGGAGCAGCTAGCTAGTTAGCGAGGTGATTGCCTCTGCCTCTGCCTCTGCCTCTGCCTGTGCCTGTGCCTGTGCCTGTGCGTGTACGTGTACCTGTGCCAGCGTATGTGTCCTTCGTGTGTCTGTGACTGTATGTGTAGGACCTGATTTTCGTCATTGATGTCCTGATCGAAGGTAGCTAACGGCCCCCTTCATGCATAGCCTGTTAGCCAATGGAGCCATCTGTTTCTCCTGATTGCTGGATGGTTTGACCAGCTTGCTCTTATCGTCCTTGCTAAGGACTCGCAGCTGACGAGTCGAGCTGGCTGGCGGAGCTCTCTGTAACCACTGCTAGTTATCCCGCAGCTTCCTCGGCTGGTTCTCTGCTGGGCCATTAGTTATTCTCCTTGTCTCGTATGGACATGGACATGCCCAGAGCCTCCTCAGGGAACGGACGGACGGCCCATCTCGAGCTTTGGCGGAGCCCATCAGGAACTGAAACTTGAGTGCTATCAACCCCCACAAACCATTTGCTGTATCCATGCACACAAGACAACATCCACACGCTATCTATCTCTTGTCTCTCGATGGTCTCTCCTCCTCCCCTGGCAGTCTGCTCCGTCTTCTCCATCTTCTTCCCCCCATAATCGTTCATCTACCGTTCATCTTACTCTTACACTATTATTGGTCCTTCTCTGGTCTCTCCCCTGGCCCCTTCGTCGACCGTTTCTCTCCACTGCCGCCAAGCTTCTCGGTACAACCACCCTGGCTGTCGTTCAAAGGCTCGCCAATCTCCTTGGACAGAAAAGTGACCCCCTAACGTATGACGGCTGCCTCTTTCCCCCCTCCATTAGCCTCATCGTCATCCCACCATTTACGTAGTACTACGTACGTATGGAGTAACACGTACATAGCGTTCATCGCCATGTATACGTGGTCTAACCTAAGGCTCCCTTTCTTAGTGCGAGTCACCAATAGCCGCATCCTGGTTGGGAAATACGCCCGGCGGCTAGCCACGAAAACGGCCACGCGGAGGTTCATTGAAAAGAGAACGGCCCCCCAAAAAAGGTTTCCTTGACCAATAAGGCCCATAGAGGCATGGCAGATCCCCTAGTTATCATGATGAGCCAGGCATCTGCTGTCTGGATCATTTTGGATCATCAATTCCGCCCTTGCTAGAGACTAGGCAACCACAGACTGTATACTACGGATGCTAACCCTATACACCCTCCGCACCCAACATCCGTGGAGAAACAGCGAGAGACAGAAGGTTGAATATAGTTAATAGGTTAGTCATTATCCGCGCTAGTTCCTTTGAAGCCCTCTCTCCACCTGCAAATGATCCTCTCTCGCATATACGCCATCTCCATCTCTCTTTCATATCGAACGCTTTTCGATGCTGTGGGTACAAATCTCCTCCAGCGGCCTTTTTTTTACTACTTGTTCCGGAAGTCTTACTGACTCGGTGAAAAAGTAAAACCCATGAGGGGAAAAGGAAAGAGGTTTTTTTTTCGCTTCTCTCTTCTCTTTTCTTTTTCTTTTTTTCATGCTTTACTTTTACGTGAATTGAAGAAGATCAGTAAATATATATGTTCGGTCCGTACACATTCCGTATTGGACTTGCAAAGGCCCCCAAGGCTCCTCAAAGTGGAGTGGCACAGCTTCGGAACAATATCGACGACCCTTTCGTTCTGTACGAACCCCGAACTAGACGTGCATATCCCAGGTGGATGCATGCTTGATCAACTACCACGTACAGCTAGAGAGAACCCGGGAAAAAAAAAGAGACAGAAACTGAGGAAGCAGGAAAAGGGAGAACAGACACGCCATCCCTTGAGCAGCTCTGTACAGAGACACCGGCTCATCCACCCATCCCATGAGAATACTGCCCTACGCCGCAGGGTTTGCCCCTTTTTACCTACCGATTCTGACTGGGCGTTATTAATATATGTGGCCCCCTGCACAGAAAAGGCATATGCCGGTAATATGTCTGCGGAGCATCACGGCTCGTCTATATCGGCCATGGCCATAGCCATCATTAACATTATTGTTCGCCGCTGCTCATCCCTTCAGATGCTCGCTTTAGTGGGATAATACATACAACACAGTTCGGATAGAAGGGCAACAAAACTTTAAAACACAAAAGACGGTTGCCTTTCTATGGTTTCTTTTTTGCGTACAGGGGCCAGCTATGATTCGGTTCCATCCGCCTGGGACGAGTGGCTTGAGCGGTGATAGGATGGATGTCGATACTCCCTGTCAGTCGCCTGCCTCAACGATCGAGGTTGCTTTGCCCTGTCTGCTTTCTCTTCCTCACGGGCCTGACTTGACAAGCCTTGCCGGCCGGAAATCGCTGCTGCGAGGCCAGGGGAAGAGGGAATTTTTTCCCCTTTCCTTTTTTTTTCTTTTTCCTTTCTTTTTTTCTCTGCTCCCACTCTCTCCGTCTTGCTCTCTTAACGAGTTCCTTTAACCTTCTTGCGCTAAAAAAAAATGTCCCCTTCGCTGAGTCGGATGTTACTAAGGTCCTCTTGAGCAACAT